AAAGTCTTATTTGTTTTATTACGGATAGATAAAAAGCAGGTATTATTTTAAAAAAAACATTTTTGGGACAAAATTATTAGCCACTTTAAGCTAATTTTTTTATCGATAATCTACAGAGCAAACCATCATCATACAATAACTTGCCTAATTACCCTAACCTGCCTAGTTCACCTTATTAACCTAGTTAAGCCTTTAAATGTCACTTTAAGCTGTATAGAAATGTCTTAAAAAATATCAAGTAAAATATTATTTACTGTCATCATGGCAAAGATAAAATAAATCAGTCATTAGAAAGAAGTTTTTAAAACTATTATGCTTAGAAATGTGCTGAAACAATCTTCCCTCCTTTAAACAGAAATTGGGGAAAAAAATAAACAAGGGGCGCTAATAATTCAGGGGGCTGATAATTCTGACTTCAACTATATATATATATATATATATATGTATACATAAACATACATGTTTAGTCTCCACTTTGCATTCTGTCATTCGTGAGATATTCTCATTAGCAAGAAGAGCGAGTCATCCACTTCCATTATAGATATAGCACACTAGTATCACACTAAAAGCATAACCCAGCCCTGTTGGATTTCCAGTCGGGAGCAGTGCTTGCATCATCAGTGTAAAGCAGTTCAGGCTGCTGGGTTGGTGAAGAGGGGAAATCAATGTTATTGAGTCAGCGTGCTGTAACCCCCCTTCTGGCTATGATTCATGCCCTGGGCTTCCTGTGCTGGCACATGATGTAGTGTTTGTGATACGCTCTTTTGATTCTTGTCTGTGTATTTCAAGAGAAATAGTTTGCCTTAAAAAGAGTAGGGTATTCTGTCATAGTGTACTAAACGTCATGGAACTCTAAACCAATATATCTGACTGTCTTCTGTGGAACACATCATTTGTTTTAATAAATGTACGTGTAAAAACTGTTTATGGTTTTGGAACAGCAAGTTTATAGTAGCTATTAAGTGCTAAATTAGATTTAAAATTAAGAAAACATGCTTTTCATCATTAGGTCTTTGCTAGACAATTGACATAAATGCCTGATGCTCACAGCAGTTTCCTGAACTGTGGTATGTTTTACAAAATATACACTATATTCTTATGACCAAATTGTTCTATAGTTAATAATATGCTAATTGGGTTTTCATTTGGACAAGACATTATTATATAAGGGCATCTATTACTAGTCAGCCCTTTTACTCTCTTTAGCCTTTAAAATAAAAAAGAGAAAATATCGTGTTCACGCAATCTATTATGCAGAGAGGTTTGTAATTATATTTCACACTTTGTTTGACATAATGTAAAACAGAAATGACTCATAAAATGGGTTTTTAAAAGTCTACTCCCTCATCGAAAGTTAATCAAATAAAATTATTCAAATGTGCTACTTAAAAGCAAGAAATTAAAATTATGTTTTTAATTATGTTATCAATTCAACCCCTTGCACAAATTAAGCTCCCTTATTTTCCCACAGACAGCCATTTTCTGGAGAACATTTAAAGTCCAAACATTCCGTGTGATTCTAACTGTAATAAAATGAAGCTCCAAGAGTACTTTTGTCCATCTAAAAATAGTAAAAATCAATTTTCTTCACCAATTCTTCACCAATTTCCTCATCAGGTCAGTGTATGCATTTATCATGGACAATATTGTGTGTTACACTACTGACTGTAATGGTAAAACGTCAAATTGTAAATGCACACCCAAGTATGAGTGAAATAATCCTTTAAATCAAATATTTTATTTTTTATTGCAACATCTAAGCAAAATAGCTTACCGAATAAGAAGAAAAGGCCAGAAATTGATTCTGTCAATGGGAAATTGGTAGGATCATTAAGGTTTGCTGTTAGTTGTGCTGTGTCAGTTATAGACTGTATAGGCCTTGTGCCATTAAATGTGCCTTCAGAAGAGAGAGTCATAGCAAGAGGAAGGGAAAGTTAGTTGGATAAAATCAATCAATCAATCAATCAATCAATCAATCAATCAATCAATCAATCAATCAATCAATCAATCAATCAATCAATCAATCAATCAATCAGTCAGTCAGTCAGTCAGTCAGTCAGTCAACTCACTAACTCACTCAACTGACTAAACAATCAACTAATCAGTCCAAACCAGCAAGCTAACCTACTAATCAACCAGCCAGCCAACCAATTAATCAACCAACCAACAAATTAACCAACTAACCACCCACCCAATTAACCAACCAACCACCCACCCACCCAGCCAACTAATTACCCAACCAACCAACAAATTAACCAACTAACCACCCACCCAATTAACCAGCCAGACATCCAATTAACCAACCAACCAATTAACCAGCTAGCCAACCGATTAACTAACCAACCAACCAAGCACCCAGCTAGCCAGCCAGCCAACCAACCAATTAATTAACCAACTAACCAACCAACCAGCCAGTCAACCAATTAACCAAACAACCAATTAACCAGCCAGCCAACTGATTAACCAACAAACCAACCAATTAACCAATCAGTCAACCAGTTAACCAACCAGTCAGCCAACAAACCAACCAACCAACTAGACAACCAAACAATTAACCAGCCAGCCAACCAATTAATCAACCAACCATCCAGTTAACCAACCAGCCAGCCAATTTACCAGCCAGCCAGCCAGCTAACCAACCAGCCAGCCAACCAACCAACTAGACAACAGACCAATTAATCAGCCAGCCAACCAATTAACCAACCAACCATCCAGTTAACCAACCAGCCAACCAATTTACCCACCAGTCAGCCAACCAGTTAACCAACCAACCAACCAACCAACCAACCAACCAACCAAGTAACCAGCCAGTCAACTAATTAACCAACCAACCAATCAACCAGCCAGCCAACCAACTAATTAACCAACTAACCAACCAGCCAATTAACCAACCAGCCAACAAACTAACCAACTAGCAAAACCAATTTACCAACCAGCTAGCCAACCAACAAACCAGTCAGCCAAACAGCCAGCCAACCAGTTAACCAACCAGCTAACCTGCCAACCAACCAACCAACCAATTAATGTGTTAAACTTAATTTAAATAGCCATGATGAAAATGTTTCTTGTCAATTAAATTGTGGTCATGCTGTACAATTTAATATACTACAATTAGGTCCACAATTAGTGAGAAATGAATTATTACAAGCTCTATGGTTTAACTAAAATGTGTGAGCAAAACAAAGTTGTAGCGCTGGTCATCTAAACATTTTAATTTTTCACTTGTGTGGGGTTCTATAAATAAACCTTTTACCATCTATAAGTTTTCTCTTTTCTCGCCAGTAACAACATGAGTTACAAAATCTTAACTTCCATCAAATGCTTTTGAGATAAACAAAACAAACGATACTTCGGTCTGTGCAAGCATTTGATGAACGTGCGGGCTCTTTATTTTTCTTGGGTTCTGCGTGGGATGAAGGGTCAAAGCAGCACTGCATGTTTATGTCCAGCTATTGAATTACTCAACACAAAATCAACAGCGTGGCTTTGGCAATAATTTGCCCCATTGCAACAGTAAACCATTCAAATTTACAGCTGTTGTTTTTGACTGCTTTCCAACTCAGATCTCAGTGTTGCAGGAAACGACAAAAGCTTATACGTGACATTATGTAGTTCCCAATCGCACAACATTTGCGCTGTCATTCTATCTTCATTATTGAGGCATATGGAAATCTCTGTGTTACCGGTTACTGAAGCACTGGCGGGGTTATTTTTATCCACCAACCTCTGTGTGCTACTTCAAAATCAGGAGCCAGAAATAGAGGCTGTGCTGTTTCCGCTTAACCTCATGAGAACAGTCCTCCAGGAACTCTTTAAAAGCTGTCCAAACACTGTTAATGTGTTCTAATGCTATATTTGATGCAAGAGATTTTGAGTGATTTTTATGGAAATGCAAAAAACGAAGTGGTTTAAAAGGAACTTTGTGGTCTGAAGAGCACATTCTCTCTATTGATGTGTCTCACTCTCATTATCTAAGGGTTAAATGACTCATTTAAAGTGTGTCAGACAGGAATACTCACCAAAACTGGCCCACAAAAAAGTTTACAATTGACCAAACTGAACATTTGAAGTAATTTATTGATTTTAGAATACTTTTGAAAAGTGATTATGGACATGGAACGAGAAGTTTCATTAAAAATCAGGGTGTCAGAGGGGTCTTAAAAAGTCTTCGAAAACAAGAGGCCTTAAATAGTCTTACAGTTACAGAAACATTTTACACAATTTTAAACTGTTGTTAGTTTTTCTTTGTCCATGTAGCTACTCAATAGGACCAACACCCATCCAATTGCCAACAATCCATCTCAATAATCATTACCAAAATCAGAGTTATATTTTATAACTATATTTATAAATGTGGTTTAAGTATCTTCCTTACAATAAAAGTTCTCCTTATATTTATAGACTATTGTAACCAGTGCTTAATTTCTGAATTGCGATGTCCTGGAACACATCAGTGTAACGGTGTCATGACTGTGTATGACCACTAGATGCCACTGTAGTTCGCCTGCAACTCCCTGCGAACTACAGTGGCCCAAGAACTACAAGTCCATACATACCACGCACATTACACCTGGTTCACTTACACTGATTGGCCATCACAGCTGTTCCTGTTCCTGTTGATTTCCTGGACTATTTATACAACCATTCCACCTGTTTGTCACTGCGTCGTTTGTCTTTCTTGTCTCCGTGATCCCAGTAAGTCTTGAATATCGAGTTTGTGTTTCCTGAGCCCTGTTCTTGAACCTGATTTATGTTGTAGTTTCTTGTTTTGTTGTTTATTTGTTACTTTGCGCTTTGGACACCTTGTTTTTCTGTTTGCTGCACTATTGTAAATAAATCTGCACTTGGATCCTCACCTTTTGTTCCCGTTTTTACGCTCTAACGTGACAAACGGATCCGGCATGTTAACTGAGGATGTAGAGGTGCTACGCATGAAAGTGGAGGAGGCAGGGGTGTTTAGCGTAGACGAAAGTGAAGAGCGGGGGGGAGTGAGGTGATGGCAGAGAGGTTCGCGGACGAAAGTGAAGAGCGGAGGGATTAGTCACGGATGAAAGTGAAGAGGGTTGGGGAGTCACAGAAGAAAGTGAAAATGCACAGCAGACGACAGAGGAGGGCGGTTGAGAAGGGGGATCAGAAAAATGAGGTGCCAGATTAAATTTTAGAGGTGCCGCATACGGAGTGTTCCGGCACAAGTTAAGCCCTGATTGTAACCGAGTTGAGGGATCAAATGCAGTGTATTAACTCAGAGTTAGGCAGGCAATGGTCAAAGCAGGAACAAATGGTATCATAAGGGTAATCCAAAAGTGTAGTCATTGTTACAGGCAAAGAGGTCAATACAGGCTGCAAAAGAACATAAACAATGAACAAGGCAAAGGTCGATTGCATGGCAAGACTAGAGAAATGCTCCGTAAGGGTACCGGAGAACTCAGCAATATGTGTGAGAATGTGAAGTATATATATAGTCCTAGTCATTAGTTCTTGTGAGTTACCACTGCATGTGTGCAATCATGGGTGATCTGGAACTGGTGTGTGTGTGAGGTGCCTTAAGGGAAATGTGGTGCGGTTCAGTTGCAGAATCGTAGTTCAGGTGACAGGTAATCTTCTCCAGTGATCTGTCAGGGCTAGATCGCTGGCTAAGGAATGATTCATTTAAGGTCCTTACTATAGGGTTACAATTGGCTGTCACTGATGGCTACCTTTTTGTACCCCTAGAACAAAGCTTTACCAAAGACTATAGAATACACAAGACATGTCACTCTAACCTTTTTGAATGGGGAAAAGACGGTCAATATGGTGAATAAAGCCCCAACTACTAGTACAGGACCCAATCATCGATGACTATATGGCAAATAAAGACCACCTTCTAGTGCAGGAGTCAATCATTGATCGCTGTAGACTAACGCTACTCTGGGGGAGGGGCTCGGACCACACGTGAATTTCTGCAGATTTTGTGTGATTTGGATGTTTAGAAAGGAAACTGAAGACACAGTTGCTGTTTAATTTTATTGGTGATTCCTAATATGAAATTTAATCGGAAGTTTGACAAGCAGTTTTAGAGAATTTAATGTTTTCGCATTCAAATAGAATGCCCGAGCAAACTGCCAGAGAGTTGTTTCAATGATGGTCACCGAGTGAAATGACTTGCCCTAAAGGGACTTTGGCTGTACCCATCAGTGACAGCCTTATGTTATAAGTCCTATGTTGCACGGGTATATTTTATCCAGTATCTAAAAACACATTGTATGCTTTAAAATGATATATTTTTTTAATTTATTCTAAAAAAAGTATTTTATTTAGACATTAATTCCAACAATTAGATTATTAAGTGAAGATTATGTACCATACATCAACAAAACGTTTATTTAGCATTCAGATAATGTATAAATAATGGATAAAAAACTAAAAAAACTGAACTTTTTGACTGGTTTTGTGGTTCAGGGTAAAATTTATACCAAAAAATATTCAGTTTTCTACCTTGTAAAACCGTTTAGTAGTCTAGACTAAGTAATCATTAGTCTAGACTACTAAATCATTATAGTAATAATAATAATAATTAGCTTTCCTCTTCTTTTTGTTACAATTACTTAGTATTGAAGACTAATGATTCCATATAATGTGTTGTGTTCTGGTCTGTTCCTCTAAACCTCTTCTTCTCCATCTGTTTCAGTGAGGACGTTTGTAAGAGAGGCTTCACTGTGATTATTGATATGCGTGGCTCTAAATGGGAGCTAATAAAGCCACTGCTGAAGACGCTACAGGAAGCATTTCCAGCTGAGATCTGCGTCGCTCTCATCATCAAACCAGACAACTTCTGGCAGAAGCAGAAGACTAACTTTGGTAGCGCCAAGTTCACCTTTGAGGTAAAACTTTCACCATCTGTCTCTGTGTCTCTGTGTGTTCAGTTATCTAAGGGGTCGGCAGTCTTATCAACCAAAAGAGCCATTTTGGTCATTCTCCCTCCAAATAAAATTTGCCCAGAGCTCCAAAACATATTTAGCATTTAAATGACTATTACACAAATTATTGTTTGCAGGCATCAGGAAGTGCCTGGCATACATTTTTTTGTAAGCACCCTTATACAGGATAGTGCCATTACAGTTTTTATTTACTAGTGTAATTTTCTTTTTTACCTGTGAACTTTTGTTTGGTTTTTATTTGAATTTAAATGAACGAAAGTAAAGCAATATTTACCAAAATATCATTTATGTTGCATTTCTGAAATGTGAGAACTATAATAACGAAAACATAAAGAACATAGCTGTGCATGAAATAGTGGTCCCCATTATTTCTGAAAAAATGTAGCATGTATAAGCTTACACTGAAGTATCTTAAACAGAAATGTAAGTCTATTTGAGTCTTTCCAGCATTGCCGACAAGCTTCCTCGTGGAGATGTGTAATGCTTATGTTGGTTTTCAAAAGTAAAAGCGGCAAATCTGTGATTTCAGTAATGGCGAAGCAACAGCGTTAAGCATGTAAACAGCTGTTTGTGGGGGTCATACGTATTACATTTGAGAAATAATAATCAAAGACACAAACAAGGCTGTTCATTTCGGCCCAATACCAATTCTATTTTTTACCCCTTTACCGCTTTCCCAATCCCAATTCTATTTTTTACCCCTTTACCCCTTGGTCAGTGCTTAATTTGTGAATTGTGAGGTCCTGAAACAGATCGGGCTAATGGATCCGGCATGTTACCCCAGGATGTTGAGGTGTTGCACAAGAAAGTTGAAAACTGGGTGGGGTTGTTGCGGACGAAAGTGAAGGGAGGTAGGGGTGGTGGATGGCGGAGGGGTGTCGCGGACGAAATTGAAGAGGGTTTGGGATTGACGTGTAAGCTTTTGGGATTGAAAAGTGAAAGTGAACAGCGGACTGGGGAGGAGGGCAGTTGAGGGATTGGTAAAATGAGGTGCCGGATCAGATTTCAGAGGTGCCGGATCCGGCGTGTTCTGGCACAAATTAAGCCCTGCCCTTGGCCCTGAAAACAAAGTGTGAAGGGGGGAGACTTCACATTTTGCTACTAAGAAATGAGACAGCACTACAACAACCGCACACTTCATCATATGTCATCACAATCTCTTACTTCATATGAGATCAGACGATGACCACCGCTTTTGGTATTTATCTTCAGGAAGTCAATGATATCATGTGGCAGTAAGTGCACTGTGTATTTACACCATGGCCATATTCATCTATGTAAACATACAAAAACAACATTAACGTTATAGCAGACACTATAAAAAAAGCTCATTCCCAGGCACTAGAATTATCTGACATGGTATTCGAGTGTCAGATGTGAAAGTATGTTGTGGGACTGCTATACAAGAGTTGTATTATGGATTATAGAGACCAAAATTGAGTGTTTTATTATCATTTTTTTAAGCATGTTGGTAAAACACGAACACCGTAATGAATGTATTCAAAACCTGCCATGCTGCCGTTGTATATGGTGTACTCTGGGAAATTGTCTTACCCCTTGGTTTTGAGTGTGGTCCTGAAAAATTTCAAGGGCTGTCTAGCCCATATGCCTTCAAGCTTAAAAAGAATAGGGAAAAGGGGGAAGGGCTAAGGGGTAGAATTGGCACTGGACCTTATAATTAAAATGAAAAACACAGTCATGGCTTGTTGATATGAGCGCAATAATTCCAATCAATATCTGATATTAACGGCCCATTGGTCTAATTGCAGGAAATATACAAGAAGTATTATGGCTTTAGCCATAATAAAAGTTCTCAGTCTCATATGTTACATAGAATGCCAAGATAAGTGTTATTCCCTTTGAAATATTGTTTAATGTGAAACAAAAAAATATGATTACAACATTTACAGGCGATGTGCAGTAGGTGACAGTTTAATATGGCCATTACCGCCGTGTCAGGTGCTGCCGCCGCTGTAAAGAAGTAAGAACGTATTTTTTAGGTTTAGCATCATCAGATTAGCTTCACACAAAGAAGGGGTTCGGAAAAAATGAATATCTAAACAAATCATATAGGAGTCGTTAGGATAAATAAATAAAAATAAATGCATATTATAAGACAATTAAAGTATTTTTTGACCTTGCATTCATATCAGCCTGTTGTTAGAGACCCCAAACCAAAATGTGACCTTTTATAATGCTTAACAAGGGCTCTCCAAATCCATGGGTTGCCGACCCCTGAGTTAGCCGTACAATCATCAGACTTCATAGTAGAATTTAAACATGGGCTTTATTCTTGGGCTAACCATTATCTTTTTCCCACTGACAGACTAGCATGGTATCAGTGGAGGGCTTGACCAAACTAGTGGACCCATCCCAGCTAACGGACGACTTTGAAGGTTCTCTGGAATACAATCATGAGGAATGGCTTGAGCTCCGGGTGGCTCTGGAGGAGTTCCTGGCCAGCGCCGTTCACCTCCTCTCTCGCCTGGAAGATCTACAGGAGACTCTGGCTAAGAAGGAGTTCCCGGTGGATGTGGAAGCCTCTCGTAGACTCATCGATGAGCACACACAGCTGAAGAAGAAGGTGATGAAGGCTCCGGTGGAAGAGCTGGACCACGAAGGCCAGAGACTCTTGCAGTGCATCCGCTCCAGCGACGGCTTCTCAGGGAGGAACTGCATTTCTGGAAGTGCCGACTTCCAGAGCGTGGTTCCGAAGATCGCCAGTCTGCTGGATAAACTCCACAGCACTCGACAGCACTTGCACCAGATGTGGCACCTACGAAAACTCAAGCTGGATCAGTGCTTTCAGCTCCGACTGTTTGAACAGGACGCAGAGAAGGTGAGTGAGCTCAACAACAATAATGGTAGACTCTCAAAGATCAATGCTGACATAGATCCCATATGTGATCGGTGTAGGCAGGGCAGTTTTTCGTAGTGTATGTGTGTGAATGAGTGTGTATGGATGTTTCCCAGTGATGGGTTGCAGCTGGAAGGGCATCCGCTGCATATAGCATATGCTGGATAAGTTGGTGGTTCATTCCGCTGTGGCGACCCTAGATTAATAAAGGGACTATAATAAAGCCGAAAAGAAAATGAATGAATGAATATCTGAAATTCCCTTCTTATGAGCACACTGGCTTTCAGTGCTGAGAATAAGAAGTTTGGAATCCTGCCCTGCCTCATTGTGGTTAGATTAGCGGTCCCCAACCTCTTTATCATTGCAAACCGGTCAGTGCTTCCCAAATTTACTTTAGTTGTCGGGGGGTTTGGGTGGTTCAACTATTTTTTCAGAGAATGACAGGCTGACAAATCTTTGCTGCAACTCTGATACAAGTTTTATCAGCACGCACCTCCATTGGAAATAACAAACTTATGCAAACTCTAGAAAAGACGCAATATGGTTGCCGTTATTTGCAATCTCTAGCAGTTGATCTTCTTGCACAGACAGTGGATTCACCTGATTTGCTGACAAATGGGTTGCGGATCAATTCCTTGGCAGTTCGCGAGTCCTTCACTGGGCCTTTTCCCCTTAGCAAAGAAACTTTCCAAAGACGTCTGTTTCTTACTCATTTTGCTGCTTATGGGTTAAATTTGGGTGCTCAAGTGACCGAGATGTAACTGAGAGAATATGGTCATTTTTTAAAATAGAAAATTGTTCAGACTCAGATAATAAATAAACCAGAAATAAATAATGATTTCTTGTGCGGCTCGGTACCAATTGATCCACGGACCGCTACCGGTCCGCAGCCAGGTGGTGGAGGACCAATGGGTTAGATGACTTGATTAACTTTTTTCATTAACAGTGAAACTAGTTTAAAACTATACTTAAGACATTATTCAAAAGTGTGAATATTTTATGTTCATTTGGTAAAACAGTTTGTGTTCTGTCCTGGTTTTTGCAGTGGAAACACGATGGTGCCGTGGAAGATTCTTGTTGATTCACAGATTCGACTATAAAAATTTTATTTTTATTTTACAAGTATCAGATTCTTTCAGTATCAGAAGTTTTCAATTTTTGATTCCTAACCCTAGTACCAGGCTCATAAACTATGTGTTTGTTTGCAGTGCATTTTCTTTAAAACACTATTGGTTGGGATTAAGAAAGGGTTTAGGTCAGTGCTTCGCTAGTTTCAGTTTCCAGTTTCCTGTTATTTTTGTCATTCAAAACACCACAGTAGATTGTAGATCCCAGTGGATTGTACTACAGAATAAAATTACGTTACATCAAACCTAGCAAGAACATAAAAAAATATTAGAAAACACTATAAAAAAACTAACACAATAAATAAGCTTTAGTGATTTCATAAATATATAGAACCATAGTTACATATATAGAAAATGAACCTGTTTAAAATCACAGAAAGGAATAGATAAGTACTGAAATACTTATTTGTCATAATAGTTATAATTTTTACAATTTGTGCTAATTTACCAGTTTATGCATTTATAACGGGCGAGGCGGTGGTGCAGCAAGAAGGTCGCTGGTTCAAGCCTCGGCTGGGTCAGTTGGCATTTCTGTGCGCAGTTTGCATGTTCTCCCCGTGTTCGTGTGGGTTTCCTCCAGGTGCTTCGGTTTCCCCCACAAGTCCAAAGACATGTGGTACAGGTGAATTGGGTAGGCTAAATTGTCCGTAGTGTATGTGTGTGAATGAGTGTGAATGGATGTTTCCCGGTGATATGTTGCGGCTGGAAGGGCATCCGCTGCGTAATAATGTGCTGGATAAGTTGGCAGTTCATTCCTCTGTGGCAACCTTAGATAAATAAAATAAATATATGGATCTATATGACAAGCTCCGCCTTCTCAAGTATGTGTATTTAAATAGCATACTGTATATAGTATCCCTACTACAAAAAGTACTCTAAGTAACATATTTCAGATTCACAAAACGTAAAAAAGCAGCCTCTAGTCATTTGAAACGTGCAACAAAATGCACCCAGAGCAACGTATTTTACGCTAATGCAAAAATGTAGGCTGAGACCCCTATTTCCAATGAGCCTGGGTTACAATATCATGGCTGTTTAAAAGTGTGACCTCATACTAACTCCATCCCCACTTCATGATAGGGGTGAGCATGAGATAAATGTTCAGACATGACGTGGAGGCCCGTCTGAAGCTAAGTATGCATAAGTGCTTTGTTCTGATAATTTCATTTCGTTCAGACCGCAGACGTTTATTTTTAGAAGCTGTTCACGCAACCTTTCTCTCATCGCGAGCGTACAGGATTGAAAATCATTTGTCTGTCAATGTGCCAGGCCTCCTAATGTCTAAAGGCCAGGATGGAGCAGTCATTCTGCTAATTAATACCTCTGTCCAACTTCTCCTAGGAGCAGCCCAGACACATTCGATTTAAAACAACCGCTTAATGTAATAGGAACGCAGTCAACTAGATTATCAATTTAGCTGCCTCTCGGCTCTTATCTTGATTACACCGTGGGCGCAATTAATTTGAAGTTCTAATTAAATATTTATTCAAGACAGCTATTTGGTTTTGAAGGATACTTTGTTTATAATGCAGAAGCAGATGATGGAGATAATGGCTGTGAATCATGGACAGAATTTGTAATTGTATTTGGTATTTCCATGTTTTATTAGGCTTCATTTGTCATGTACACATCAAGGCATGTTTATTAGTGAATGAATGTAGTAAACATTTCTCTATACATTTGATGTTTAAGACATGTACATTCATTCATTCTCCTTCAGCGTAGTCTCTTATTTATCAGGGGTCGCCACAGTGGAATGAACCGCCAGCTCTTTCAGCATATGCTTTACGCAGCAGATGGTCTTCCAGCTGCAACCCAGTGTTGGGAAACACCCTTACACACCCATTCACACACACACAGACTCATACACTACGGCCAATTTAGTTTATTCAATTCCTCTATGGCGCATGTGTTTGGACCTACACAATCTCACGGCAATTCGTAACTTCTTGATTTAGTGGCTAATTCGTATGAATTCGTAAGATCTAATTTGTACCATTTAGTACGATTTGCTCATCCCCCAATGACGGTTGGGTTTAGGGGTGGGGTTAGGTGCCACGCCTCCTTTTTAAAATCGTACAATTTTGTACGAATTAGCCACTAAACTGGCAAAACGTAAAATACTTGGATCAGGCTGGTTTGGACTGTGAAGGAAACCGGACCACCCTAAGAAAAACCCACGCCAACATGGGGAGCAGGGAGAACATGCAAACTCCACACAGGAACACCATCTGGCCCAGCCGAGATTCAAACCAGAGACCTTCATGCCATGAGGCGACAGTGCCACCGTATTGCCCTATATAATCAGTTTAAATCAATTCAAATAATATTATTCTCTAATTTGCAAATGTTTATAGGATTTATTCATAATTTCTGAGTTTTTAGTAATATATAATATAAAGGTAATAGTCTACCTGTTAATATTTAGTGGATAGGTTAAAGTTCCATCATTATATATATATATATATATATATATATATATATATATATATATATAATGTATATATAGATTACTTTAATATAGATATATTAAAGTAATATCAGCACCCGTACAGCCTCTTTACCCTTTGTGTATTACTCCACCCACATACAGCCAGCAAAAAGCAGACACTACAGATCTAAAGTTTAAAAGATGCTTGCTCACCTTCTTAACTGTCAGCTTAGATTCAGATTTGAATCTAAGGCGGAAGAAAGTAGTTCCTCATACAAAAGGGTTTTTGAGACTTTCCATGTTTGATTTTGTTTTTATATACACAATTGTGCCGTCAAACTGTTGTATAAACACAATATCACACTCGTAGCAGTGCTATATGGCTGTATATACATCATAGGATATGGCGATATACAGCCATATCACACTGCTACGAGTGTGATATTGCTCATATATATATATATATATATATATATATATATATATATATATATATATATATATATATATACATACAGTTGAAGCCCACCTGAATTATTAGCCCCCTGTTAATTTTTGTACCCAATTTTTGTTTATCGGAGAGAAAATTTAACACATTTTAAATCATAAGTTTTAATGACTCATTTCTAATAACTGATTGATTTTATCTTTGCCATGATGACAGTAAATAATATTTGACTAGATATTTTTGAAGACACTTCTATACAGCTTAAAGTGACATTTAAAGGCTTAACTAGGTTAATTAGGTGAACTAGGCAGGTTGGGGTAATCAGGCAAGTTATTGTATAACGATGGTTTGTTCTGTAAACTATCGAAAGAAATATTAGCTTAAAGGGAATAATAATTTGGGCCTTAAAATGTATATCAAAAAATTAAAAACTTATTTTTAATTTTTAGATATTTTTAGATATTTTTTAGATATTTCTAGCCAAAATGAAACCAATAGAAAAAGCAGAAAAAAAACAGAAGAAAAAATATTATCAGACATACTGTGAAAATTTCCTTGCTCTGTTAAACATAATTTGGGAAATATTTAAAAAAAAAATGAAAAGCAGGGCTAATAATTCTGACTTCAACTGTAACTCGCGTTACTTGTAATTCATTACCCTCAACACTGCATGTATATAAGGCAAACTCTGGCATTGGCAAGAAGGCAATAATGAAGCAGAATGTGTATGTTCAAGATAGTTGTAAATCCTTTAAAAGCACCAACAACTGATATCAGTGTTTCAGCGCAGTGTTTTATCAACAAATGCATTCGTCTTAATTACAAGTGTTGCCACGGCAACACCGCAAATGGGTTCCTTATCATCTGCTGGAACAGAATGCTTCAGATGTTTACATTTGTCATTCTGTTATCTGTTGTGTGTCTGTGATTCATTAGTCGTGTGTTTAATTAATAGTGTATGATGGTGATAACGAACCTTCAATGATGTGTAATCGATGTGTAAAGACACAGGAATGGATGGTGGATTATTTTTTAAAAGGTCTTTTCTTCCTTGTCTCTCTGCAGATGTTTGACTGGATCAGTCACAATAAGGAATTGTTTCTTCAGAGCCACACGGAGATCGGTGTGAGCTACCAGCATGCTGTGGAGCTACAGACGCAACACAACCACTTTGCCATGAACTCAATGGTATGTCAGTCTGTGATGATAGTTTTTTATTTATTTATTTTTTTTTTTTTGTGGTGATTTCACATTCTTACTTGATGTTGTCCACACAATAAAGTACATAAGGGATTAGTTCACTGAGAAATCTAAAATTGTGTTATTAAAGGGGTAAGTTCACCCAAAAATCATTTACTCACTCTTTACTTCCAAATCTTTTTTTCTTCTTCTGTTGAACACAAAATAAAGAAAGAATGCTGGAAATACAGTAAACATATTAGTTTTAATAACTCATTTCTAATAACTGATTTATTTTATTTTTGCCATGATGACAATAAATAATATTTGACTAGATATTCTTTAAGACAATTCTATACAGCTTAAAGTGACATTTAAAGGCTTAACTAGGTTAACTAGGCATGTTAGGATAATTAGGAAAGTTATTGTATAATGATGGTTTGTTCTGTAAAACATATAAAAAATAGCTTAAAGGGGCAAAAATTTGATCTTAAAGTAGTGTTTAAAAAAATAAAAACGGCTTTTATTCTAGCCAAAATAAAACAAATCAGACTTTCTCCAGAAGAAAAAAACATATCAGACATACTGTGAATATTTCCTTGCTCTGTTAAACATAATTTGGAAAATATTTAAAAAATAAAAAATAAATAAAAGGGGGGCTGTGTGTAAGCATCGACTTCCGTTGTATTTGGTTTTCTTACTTTGGAAGTCAGTGCTTACAGGTTTTCAGCTTTCTTCAAAATATCTTATTTTGTGTTCAACTAATTAAATAAATAAATAAATAAATAAATAAATAAATAAATGAATGAATGAATGAATGAATGAATGAATGAATGAATGAATGAATGAATGAATAAATAAATAAATAAATAAATAAATAAATAAATAAATAAATAAATAAATAAATAAATAAATAAAAAAAAAAATAAAAAAAAAAAAAAAATAACTCTGAATAATTTGGGGTGAGTAAATGTTAATTTTCGCATCCTTTTAAAGAAGAGATACCCAAACTAGACCCTGCAGGCCAAAGTTGGTCTGTTGTAACCTTTGATTTGGCCCACCATTACAGAGGGACAATGTTGGAGAGTTGGTTGGGACAAACATCTTTGACAGAGATTGTCATATTTGGTCCCAGCAAAGGATCAGAATCTGTCAATTTTCCGCTTGACCGGTGACCAGCACAGTGTTGTCATATAGACACCCACAGACACTCATAGCCACATATAACCTGTCATTGGTTAACTTTTTCCACAGTGTGAAAGTGACACTGTGTTATTAATATGATCAGTTAAGTATCTTAAAATGTAATTTAAGCCTTATTAAACATTTATGTTTCCTTCAAGCTATTTTGCTGCATGATTAAAAAGTTTGTTTACAGCAAATGTCCTACCAGAACAAAATTAAACAAAATCAGAAAAATCTATTAAACAATAATAAAAACTTTACAAATAAATATTGTTATGTTTAATTTAATAATAGGCATAAGCTGTTGGGTATTGACAAAGTTACTGACATTGGGAACTTATGTTTTGTTAGTGTTGCTAATGCTGTTTGATGGAACCAATATCATGTTTTTTTATTAATATTATTCATAATAATTTGTGTTTTTTCACACTTTATATGTATAATTAATAGGGTTAAGGATTTTTTTGTGCAAATTCTGTTCTGTAAAATGGTCTTAAATATTATTTTGTTTAAAATAAAAAAAGTCTTAAATAGAACCTTTAGAAGCCTGTAGGCACCCTGCTTTCACTTGTGTGTGAACGGGTGTGGAAAGCGATATCTGAAAAAACACTAGCTACATTTTCATCCACCTATTTTTATGCACATTTTGCATATGCGCATAAAAACCAGTTGATGGAAACGCCATAATGTGCATACTCTGCAAAAAATACTTTTCTTACTTAGATTTTTTGTCTTGTTTTTTTAGTCCAAATTATCTACAAATTCTTAAATCAAGAAGCATTTTCTAGACAAGCAAAACATAATGTCTTGTTTTAAGAAATAATACGCCAAAATAAAGTGAGTTTTTCCTTAAATCAAGCAAAATAACCTGCCAATGGGGTAAGCAAAATAATCTTGTTTTCGATTTATGATAAGATTATTTTGCTTACCCCACTGGCAGATTATTTTGCTTATTTAAGGAAAAACTAACTGTATTTTGGCATATTATTTCTTAAAACAAGACAATATGTTTAGCTTGTCTAGAAAATGCTTCTAGATTTGAGAACTTTTAGATATTTGGACTAGAAAAAAGACAAAAAATCTAAGTAAGAAAAGCATTTTTTTGCAGTGTAAATTTTGAAAATGCGCATAAAAAACAACAAAGTAGGATAAATGTTTTATTCGATAAGAGAAGATGCGCATAAACTGCGATGGAAACTTTTACCGCACAAATTCTAGTATGCATATTAAAAAAGGTCACTACATGTCAGGATTGCCTTCTGAGGCGCAAGTCAATCATTAAATAAAGAAAAGATTTATTCAGCTTCTCATTCTGCAGCAAATTCTGATTTTACTGTTGATATTTGGCGCCAGTTTGTCAGGAAGTGATAATTTTGTTCGCTTAGACTCGTCGGATGGAAACGCTGCTTTATTCGCTCATCTTTTATGCGATAATCCAGTTTTGCACATAAAGTTAATTAGCATTTTTGGATGGAAACATAGCTACTGACAAACGCTCCTCTATCTGAAAGGCACTTCTCCTCTACCCTTATTTATTACAAATAAACCAGTGTGGGTGAATAATCTGTGTTTTTATGAATAGAGTTTCTTTTGAATTCTTGTGTCCTTATCATAGCTAGTGAAAGTGAAATAATAATGCAAATAAACAACCCAATTCTATCCAGGCAGTCAAGCACATTCACATCAAGTGCATCTGAAACCAAGCTGTAGTATAGTGGCGTATGCAGAATGAAACTCGATCCAATAACTCTAAACTTTCCATGAAATATGTCATCGATCTAAAACATCTGATTGCACCAAAATATATTATCTTTGGTCACTGGTTTCCTTGTTACAGTGTAGCTGTTTACTTAACTAATTAGTAAAAGTAATTAATTACATAGACTCATTACAAGGCTGCCTGGAATACTTGATTCTGATTGGTCAGTCACAACATTCCAAAGTATGTTATTCTAGGATAACAACCACTGAATCTAATAGCTCGTTTCCACTGACTGGTACAATACGGTACGGTTCGGGTTGGTACTTGTCACCTTTATCAGGCTTGCGTTTTCACTAGCAAGGGTAGCCTTTTGGTGGGAGTGGTGTATGACAAAGTTTCAGTCGACGTCATGCTCGCTTGAGAAAATGTCTACAAAAAAGCTGCACAGGTCGCTCACATATCATATGAAAAGCATTTCTTACAAAACAGACGCTTCACACACATAAATACTTGTGTATAAATGTTTATTACTAACTTTTCTATGAACATGAGTTGATTATAACTGTAGATTAATGACAGTGCGAAATAGCCTACTGTAACGTCTGTAATTATATAAAATAAATGAACATATATGAACACATACAGACCCTTACAGTCCCCGATACTTTACCAACTACAGAAAAAGTACACACAGCAGACATTTCGTCCTTAATTAGGTTCAAAACAACACAAAGTATAGCCTACAGTCAGTGAAAACCTCTTATGTGTGTCTGTAATCTTCAGCAGCACATGTCATGCAGCCTCTGTTAGAGAGTCATTCCATCATTCCCAGTTCATATTAGTACAAAGGGTGATGATAAAAATGAAAACAAGGCAGTTTGTTCACGTTTGCTGAAGAAATAACGTGCTCCTTGGCTTCCCCTTTTTTCCGCACTCCATTATCGCGTTTGTCCTTTCTGAATGTGTCATTCTCGCGTTTGTAAGCTTCTCACAGGGTCGGGTTTCCAAAGCTTGTCAATAATCAAGCGCACGTTATTATTATCAGCTCAAGTAGTTTGTTATTTCAGATATAGACGCGCGGCGAGCGCAAGTAATCTCTCGCTGTGCATTTCAAACATGGCGGGTCTTTTGTTTACATTCTGGCTTGTTGCGTAAGCGAATGACGTATCTCAGTAAACCAAAAGCGTTCAGCTGCGCCTCTAGCTCTGCCTTTTGGTACCCTTTCTTGTGTTTGGGACCCTTTTGAAAGGGTGCCGAAAAAGTGGTACGGTACGATTTGGTTCGGTACGCCTTTTGACAGTGGAAACGGCCATAAAAGCGTACCAAACCGAACCGTACCGTACCACTCAGTGGAAACGGGCCATAATAACACAGGCTCATCAGGGAACTTCAAATAATCTCGACCTTCAGTAAATACGTTCACATTCATATTTATATGCTTGACTGTCACGGCACTGGTTTTGACTGTTTGGCACCATCCTGTGACTGAATAATAAATAGGTTAGTTTATGCTCCATTCAGCCGTTTTTGTATTAAAGACTTAATAAACTATTAGAGCTCAGAAAAATGTTTTTTTTACTAGTATTTTTTACTAGTAGCAATGTAATAAGTGGCATAAAGTACATCCAGGCGTATTATGAGCATGCCAAAATGTGTAAATGGCTCCTACTTTCACCTGCAACACCTGCCATGCTCTTTGATCTCCCGTTTCCCAGAATGCCTATGTGAACATAAACCGCATCATGTCGGTGGCGTCGCGGCTGTCGGAGGCGGGCCACTACGCCGCTCAGCAGATCAAACAGATCAGCACTCAGCTGGATCAGGAGTGGAAGAGCTTCGCGGCTGCTCTCGATGAACGCAGCACCATCCTTGCCATGTCTGCCGTCTTCCATCAGAAATCTGAACAGGTATAAAATTCCTAATTACTTCATCTGTGTAGGTCTCACAGAATGCAAAAGCTAATAAAAGTTCCATACAATGCCCTGATTCAAGATGTTAAATTGATCTATGATGTAAACATTATTGAGTATATCTGTGGTAAGATGAAGAAGGAGGCATTGAAGATGAATCCAAAGAATCTTGATGAACTCTGGAAGCCCATTCCAGATGACTTTATTAATAAGTTATTTGAGTCATTGCAGAGATGTATGGATGCAGTCCTCCAAGCTCATGGGAGTCACACATTATCAATTATTTTTCCACTGCACTTTATATTCTACATCAATAAATATACAATAAACATTGATTCTATTAAGTGACAAGACTTTTGTCTAAGCAAAGTCAGACCTTACTGTCCTAATTAAATAATTAAACATAATCAAATCAAGGCATGATCATATTTTATTTTGGTAAAATAAGCATAATCATATAAACCACTTCTGATACTGTCACATAACCAGCGATCGCTCCCCAGAGATCGCTGGTTCTCACATGAAAACTAGGACTACACTTCCGCCTTCTTCTGGACTACATAGGCATACATGCACTTCTCCCAGACACTCACGCCTGCTCACTCATCTAGCTGGATTACATTCGCACACCTGAGGACTTTCAGAGACTGATTAGTAACCCTACATAAACCACTCATTCACTCACCCAGGTTGCCGAGTCTTGTTAGCTGTTTCAGTTACTTTACAACGCGTTTCTCCCTGTCTTGTATCTTCGTGGTAGACCCTAGCCTTGTTTACCTTTGTTCTCTTGTTTAGCCGCCTGCCTTTTGACCTGTTGCCTGTTATACAGACTACGATTCTGGACTGCCTGAATATACCCGTTTGCACCAGTTTGATCATTGCTTGCCTGACGCTGAATAAACCTGGATCTTACCTCCAGTTGTCTCTGTCACTCGCCCCCATCGTTACAGATACCAAATGATCAACTAGAAGTATTGTTATTATTTGTTGTTCCTAAAACTTGGATAGGCGACAAGACTTTTGTCCGATAGTGTAGTGTGATGTACTGCGATAAAATAAACATGTGCAAAATAATTATATTTTATTTGTCAAAAAGTATTTTAATAAATCGGTATACAGAGGTTTATTTTAGCTGGAAAGATTGACTGAGATATCTTTAACCCACCAAAGTAACCTTTTTTTACACCCGAGATGTGTTGTGGATGAAATTTTGGATACATTACAATTTTATTTGACAAAAGAGATCAACAGAGATGTATTAAGAGTTGTATTTTGAAGCTTTAACACTGGAGCTACCAGAATTCTATGACTACTAGAATTACCATAGCAGTCATTCTGACCGTTTTCATATAAGACGTTTTATTGTCACGTCATTGTCACGGTTTGTTGACAGGACGGAGACAAAAAAGGTGTAGGATCCAATTGCATTTAACGATGATATCATGCAGTAACAGAAAAACCAAGATAGTACCGAGTAGTACGTTTACATTCAAATGCAGTACCTACTGAGTAGTAGGCGGTTTCGGACGCAGCCGTAGTCTTTAGGAACTGTAGTTCGCTCTCAGAGTTCACTAGCGAACTACAATGCCCTCTGGTGGTTACAGACAATCATGACAGTCATATTTAAATTCAAAGCTTCTATAAAATAATAAAATTAAGCTTTAAAAGTCTGTCATCATATTTAATTAAGTCATCACCCTAAGAAAACTATATTTTGCTAATACAGCCTATACATGTAAAATTAGCGTACTAGACCACAGGTGAATGTCCGTGCCTCACTTTTATTTTAACTTGGCAGGGAAGAAGGCTATTTCAAGGCGCCGAATATGCTATTCCGAAAGACATATGTCAATTAAAGTTAAAAAATTAAAATTAAAGTTATGTTTTTATGCAGGAAGTTGCAAGGCAACAGAGGCACGCCACAAGTCACCAGACGCTGAAATGCATACAGCCATTTTGACTGCTATAGTAGTTCTTGGTCGAAATAATCAGAACTTTTTTTTGTGTGTAGTCATTTTAATAAAGCAATAATGTTACTTTGACAGCTGCAACAGTTAAAAAATGTCAAAATGACTGCCTCTTTAGTTCTAGTGTTAAGATATATGAAAACACAGGCAGGAAGTAATTTCAAACTTGCATACGATTCATTTAAGATCATCAGTATGAGCGGAGTGATATGACACAGTGCATAATCATGCATTAAATTCGCCTCATTACAAATATAAACGTGTGCCTGTTGCCTCATTACAAACATACAAGGCAAACGTCACAATATAATGTTAAACTAATGAAATATAAAGTTAAATAGACCACATGCTTCTTCTTTTAATTACAGATTTTTATTCTGCAGCACCTTGAAATAATAATTGCAGTGATTTAATCATTTCTAATTGTGCATGTTTCTGTCTGCGCAGTTTTTGTCCGGTGTGGAAACATGGTGTAAGATGTGCAGTGAAGGCGGCTTGCCATCAGAGATGCAGGATCTGGAATCGGCCATTCATCACCATCAGACGCTCTATGAACAAGTCACACAAGCATACACCGAGGTGAGAACACGACTCTAGCCTTTTATTATTGTTCTGGGACAATAATCAGTGTTTTCTGACCAGAGTGGATGACAGGTCTCTGTGCTTATGTTACATAATTAATATTGTTTGAACAATAGCAATTTAGTGAACCGGCCCTAATTAATCTGAAGACACAACAGGAAGACAATGCAGCAATGTTATTGTACTACTTTAGTTTTTCTACCTCCACCCTTTTTATCTGCCTTATGTATGGCTGAATAATTATCTCACAGTGCTGTTAAAAGATCTGACATTAGAGAAAGTGTTCTGTTATACAGTATATCTTGTTTAAAACCTGTAAAAATTCAACGTCATTGTTGTTTAGAATTGAGGTTGGTTTTCACACAATCAGATCTTTGGGTCTCAGTATCTCATATGTATATAACTATTGTGAATATCATTTACATTTAACGAGCAATGCTGGATCAGTCATATGCTTAGAAAAGTTCAAGGTTAGTTGTGTTAATCTGTCAGGATATGTAGAAGCTGAGCATTTGAAATGTATATAAAAACAAAGAGGAAACATGGGAGTTTATCTTTATTTGGCTGTGGATAGAAAAGTCTGGATTTATTTGTGGAAAAATAATTAAACTATAATCAAGCAGTTACATTTAATGTTATGTTATATTTCTTTTTCTTTTTTTTGTCAAATAGTTATACATAGTGAAAGTTGACAATTCCAGGGCAAAGGGCATTTATTTTATTCAATTTTAATAAATCTTATTAAACGTTTTTATCAATAATAAAATGTAAAATTAAAGGGGTGGTCCACTACAATATCATATTTTAGACTTTAGTTCATCTGTAATGTAGCTGTGTGAACAAAAACAACATCTCTGAATGTGAAATGCTCAAAGTTCAATGCAAAGAAAGACCTTGGTTTTTCAGTTAGCTTAGCAAAGCCTACAATAAACGAATTTTAGGGACTACAAAAAAATACATCCGGGCCAAACACACACTGCGCATCTAAGGGCCGTGGCTAGAGGCACTGTATTGTTACTGCAGAGAAAGCTGAAATGGCGTTCAAATGCTGCTGTTTTCACTTTCGTTTCTGTATTTGGGCTTTCAAAGGACCCAACAAAAAAGAGAAGTGCTTACAGTTCAATATTAATTATGTTCCAGAGAATTATAAAATATATAGCAAGCATGATTTGACAAAGGACAGCTTGCAGAATCTTTCTCAGGTCAGTGCTGGATTCGGTTAAAATCTCCTCAAAGGAGCAGCTCCATCAAGCTGAAGCTGTGGACTCAGAGCCACAACCTGTAAGTGTTTTTAAATTGTAAAATTGATTATGACATGCACAGTGTCTAGCGTTAGCGGTATGTTGGAGCAAGAATGCAAACAACAGTAAATGCTGTTTGGCACCGCTAACAATTTAGCGATCTCTCTTATAGGAGCTGCACCCCATTTTCACTCGTTACAGACACTTGGAAGAGAGCAGGCATGAGGTTGACTGACTGTTTACACAGCTCAAAAGCATGTGCTTGTAGAGGCGTAATGTGTTGCCGATCCGCGAATCACAGCACATTATGTTAGATGACCAATCAGAGTCACTTAAGGGCAGGCCTTTCGAAGAAACTAGGAAATATGACAGTTGTTTTCATGTTAGCTGAGTAGCTGTATATAATCAAAGTAAGATATATAAAAAATATAACCTGATTTTCAACGTCAAACATGAGCACACATTGCTTTGCATCTTATAAACACAACCAAGCCTTAAAATAACATTCTGGACCACCCCTTTAATGTATTAATATGATGATATAATGCAGTGATCATTCTAGGTTTCAGTCTAACATGATCCTTCAGAATTTCAAAAAAAAAAAAAAAGAAAGAAAAGAAAACATATATACAGTGTTGGACAAAGTTCCTTTTGAAAGAAATGCATGACAATATTGAGTTACTGTTGTGTTATTTAGTTACTTTTTCATGGTAAGTAGTGCTTTACGTTACTTTTGAATTTTTTCTTACCTGGCCGATGCTTGATCTCTTTTTGAATCTGCAGGTTATTCCAAATAATTCGGAAGTGAAGTTTAACCAGCACAGGCACATTGTGAAAATGTATTCTAGTATACATTTCTGGAGAGCATGAATTATGTAGCTAGAGCTTTTCCGCTTTTACCAGTTTGCCCAGTAGCTCACCACGTATGTCAGCTAATTTGGGATGTGGAGCAGAGTTGACCATGACGACAGGGGGTTGAGTCTGGCGAAGAACGGTTCCAGAAAACAAGAAAAACAAAAACACATGGCAAAAAAGAAATAAACAAGTGAATAGCATGGTGAGAACATGGTAAGATCTGAAAATGGGGTAAAAATTAGGTGGCTGTAAGGACTTTTTTTTAATTACTTTTAAAAACACTGTCAGTTGGGTTTCAGCAAGGGGGTGGGTGCTGTGCAGTCGGTGCTTTTGAAAACACTATCGGTTGGGTTGAGGGAAGGGAGTGAGTGGGGGTTTTCGTTCAGTCAGTCAGTTAGTCGGTCTGTCACTCAGTCGACATTGGCCTCTAGTGGACTAGCACTCGCGAGATAAATTTGAGACCTGAAAAAGCGTACACAGCGACCTCTAATGGATTTGCAAAACAAAAACTGCAACAACAACAAAAAAAAGTAGCTCCTGGGATGTATTTCGCACCAGAAATGTATAAAGGGGTACGTATTAACAATGAGCCTGAGTTGCATTTAACAGAGGAACGCTTAGCTTTGCCTAGTGAACCTACTAATCTAGTTAATTTCTTTGCACTTTAAACTGAATACAAGAATCTTTGAAAATACCTAGTAAACTATTAAATGCTGTCATCTTTTTCATCTCTCTGCAGGTGAGTCAGGACGGTAAGGCTTTGCTGGACGTTCTTCAGCGGCCGTTGAGTCCTGGGAACGCAGAGTCACTGACTGCGACAGCGAACTACTCTAAAGCCGTGCACTGTATACTGGACGTGGTCCACGAGGTCCTGCATCATCAGAGACGTCTGGAGAACATCTGGCAGCACCGTAAAGTCCGTCTGCATCAGAGACTGCAGCTCTGTGTCTTCCAGCAGGACGTCCAACAGGTATATTAATCTTCACACACTGTGTGTTTTCACTCTCTCAGGCTATCCTTACATCCAATCACCTACTGCACCTTTAATGATACCCAACCAAAGTCATGTAAACAAACAGACGAAATGCACACAAAGTTTGTCTGAAAACATTATTGTGTAAAAAAAAGCCCCTCGGTGTTCCTAACGCTTACAAACTCTGCATCCTTGCCGCAATGTAATATAATAACAACAAAAATACATTATTCACAACGTACCAAGAGATTTCACTCATTTATTTATTTTTTTTGTACAATATATTTATTACTTTTTTTAATTTGCATATCAGATTACACAATTACAGAACAATAATCATGAAGGCACAGCAAACTTTTTACCCCCCATTCTCCCTCCCAACAACCCATTCCCTTAAAAATAAATAAATAAAATTAAATAAATAAAATAATAATAAATAAGTAAATTAAAAAAATGAACAAATAAATAAATATAATAAAAAAGGGGAAGAGAAAAAAAAGATAAAAAGGGGAATATGTTTAAATTAGGTAGTCTGTTTAGACCATGATACTTCCCATATTCCTAAGCTTGTTCTTGTTGTAGTAGACTGTCAACATTTTACATTGTACTTTAGAAAGTTATTAAAAGGTCTCCGGATATCTTCAAACACATTTTGTTTCTTTTTGACAATGTACGTGATCTTTTCCATTGACATATGCGATGCCATTTCTTTAATCCACTTTCCTATTCTTGGTTCATTTATATTTTTCCAATTAAGAGCAATAATACGTTTACCTTGTAAAATACACATGTTTATGAATCTGACCTCTTTGCTTTGTAAGAAAGGGCTGACAGGAAGTATACCCAGGATAAAAATCTTAGGATCTAATGGTAATTTCTTTAATAAAATTTGGTCAATTATTTCAATAACATCTTGCCAAAAGGGTTTCACTTTCATACGTTCCCAAGTACAGTGATAAAGTGTTCCTCTTACCTCATTGCACTTTATAAAGGTATCTGGAATATTATCATTAAACTTGTGCAATATAGCAGGAGTTACTGCATGTATGTATGTTCGCATTAACCATTTGTACTGTACGAGTTTCAGGCTACTATTGATTGTTTGTATCTGAGCTTTCCTAAATGCCTCATTCCAGTCTTCTAGAGATATTTCATCTTCCATATCTTCTTTCCATAACTTTAGTTTAGATTGCTCATTTTATCATGAAACCATTCCGCTACATTCTTGCAAGGGTATACTGGTTTCAAATCTTACTATTATATTTTCCCATGTCTGACATGTGCTGTAATTCATCCATAATAGTGAAGCGCAGAAAGCTGAATGATCAAAATTGTCAACAGTTCGTCAATTCAGAGTTGTCAAATAATATTTAGTGGTCTTTTTTTGGGTTGGCTTTATAGATGTTTTTTTATATTCTTTTGAGTATTCTCAGTGTCGGCTTTGTGCCCAGGAGAGCAGTTAATATCTCTCCATTAGCCTCTTTCAGTAGGTCTGTGGCTGGATTGAGTTTAAGGTTTATCAGAGCGGGTCAGCCCTGAAAAACAGCCAACAGACTCCGCCAAATCAAGATCTGAACCAGAACCAAAGAACTAAAATACTGTAACGACAAACCGAGCAGCCCAATGGAGGCCAGAGAACAGCACAGGAGGAACATGCATAACATCTCCATTACATTCAACAATAAAACTGACAATACTCCACTCCTGTATTTCTAAAAGCATGAACCTACTCTTCTCTTCTTAGCCTTCTGTCTTTCTGTGTGTGTTTGTACTTGTTTATGTTGTTTATGAGGACTGAAATTGAAAAATGACATCGGTATGACTTAGTTTAAGTGGTTTATGAGCATGAACATGTCTTGTGTACTTGTAATTCGAAGCACTGAAAAATAATACTTACCAAAGTGTTTTGACATTCATAATTTTTCATAATCATAATAATTCACAAACCCATATTCAATAATGATGATTGATTGAATCATTTTTTTATTGAAACTGTGACAGATTGATAAATGAATGTGAACATAACAGATCTAAGAAAAAATGATAAACAACTACCATAACAACAACAATATATATATATATATATATATATATATATATATATATATATATATATATATATATATA